GATCCTTAAAGCAGCAAGAGACAAGAAGTCCCTGACTTTCATGGGGAGGAATATTAGGGTAACAGCAGACCTCTCCACAGAGACGTGGCAGGCCAGAAAGGGCTGGCAGGATATATTCAGGGTCCTAAATGAGAAGAACATGCAACCAAGAATACTCTATCCAGCAAGGCTCTCATTCAGAATGGAAGGAGAGATAAAGAGCTTCCAAGACAGGCAGGAACTGAAAGAATATGTGACCTCCAAACCAGCTCTGCAAGAAATTTTAAGGAGGACTCTTAAAATTCCCCTTTAAGAAGAAGTTCAGTGGAACAACCCACAAAAACAAGAACTGAATAGATATCATGATGACACTAAACTCATATCTGTCAATAGTAACTCTGAACGTGAATGGGCTTAATGACCCCATCAAAAGGTGCAGGGTTTCAGACTGGATAAAAAAGCAGGACCCATCTATTTGCTGTCTACAAGAGACTCATTTTAGACAGAAGGACACCTACAACCTGAAAATAAAAGGTTGGAGAACCATTTACCATTCAAATGGTCCTCCAAAGAAAGCAGGGGTAGCCATCCTTATATCAGATAAACTAAAATTTACCCCGAAGACTGTAGTGAGAGATGAAGAGGGACACTATCTCATACTTAAAGGATCTATCCAGCAAGAGGACTTAACAATCCTCAATATATATGCCCCGAATGTGGGAGCTGCCAAATATTTAAATCAATTAATAACCAAAGTGAAGAAATACTTAGATAATAATACACTTATACTTGGTGACTTCAATCTAGCTCTTTCTACCCCCGATAGGTCTTCTAAGCACAACATCTCCAAAGAAACGAGAGCTTTAAATGATACACTGGACCAGATGGATATCACAGATATCTACAGAACTTTACATCCAAACTCAACTGAATACACATTCTTCTCAAGTGCACATGGAACTTTCTCCAGAATAGACCACATACTGGGTCACAAATCAGGTCTGAACCGATAACAAAAGATTGGGATCGTCCCCTGCATATTCTCAGACCATAATGCCTTGAAATTAGAACTAAATCACAACAAGAAGTTTGGAAGGACCTCAAACACGTGGAGGTTAAGGACCATCCTGCTAAAAGATGAAAGGGTCAACAAGGAAATTAAGGAAGAATTAAAAAAATTCATGGAAACTAATGAGAATGAAGATACAACCGTTCAAAATCTTTGGGATGTAGCAAAAGCCGTCCTGAGGGGGAAATACATCGCAATACAAGCATCCATCCAAAAACTGGAAAGAACTCAAATACAAAAGCTAACCTTACACATAAAGGAGCTAGAGAAAAAACAGCAAATGGACCCGACGCCCAGCAGAAGAAGAGAGTTAATTAAAATTCGAGCAGAACTCAACGAAATCGAGACCAGAAGAACTGTGGAACAGATCAACAAAACCAGGAGTTGGTTCTTTGAAAGAATTAATAAGATAGATAAACCATTAGCCAGCCTTATTAAAAAGAAGAGAGAGAAGACTCAAATTGATAAAATCATGAATGAGAAAGGAGAGATCACTACCAACACCAAGGAAATACAAACGATTTTAAAAACATATTATGAAGAGCTCTACGCCAATAAATTAGGCAATCTAGAAGAAATGGACGTATTTCTGGAAAGCCACAAACTACTAAAACTGGAACAGAAAGAAGTAGAAAACCTGAAAGGCCAAAACTAGCAAGGAAATTGAAGCAGTCATCAAAAACCTCCCAAGACACAAGAGTCCAGGGCCAGATGGCTTCCCAGGGGAATTCTATCAAACGTTTAAAGAAGAAACCATACCTATTCTAAAGCTGTTTGGAAAGATAGAAAGAGATGGAGAACTTCCAAATTCGTTCTATGAGGCTGGAATCGAGTCCTGCATCGGGCTCCCCACATAGAGCCTGCTTCTCCCTCTGCCTCTCTATGTCTCTCATGAATAAATAAATAAAATCTTTTAAAAAATTAAATAATTCTTACAAGGTGTCTGAAACATATTAAGTGGTCAGTAAGTTACTTGTTATGAGTAACAGCTAGAGGAAGAGTTTGGACCAGATACAATGCTGGGTGCTGGGGATTCAAGAATGAATAAGACAAACAGTCCCTGTCTTCTGGAGTCAGACAGGTAAGGTAAGCACAAAAGGGAGATAGATAAGCAAGGCATTAACTGCTAGGATAAGAGAAATATAGTTTTATGGAAACATGTAGCACTGAGAAAGAGACGAAAGTAAAGGAGTTCCAGAAAGATTTCTTGGAAGAAATTATTACCATTACCTTTAAAAATTATATTCTTTGCTGTGAATTATTTGGTTTCAACCACTACAATATAAGTTGCATGAGGGCAGACATTGTATGTTGTGTTTGGTTTTATATATCAAATTCCTATTGTAGTGCCTGGTACATAAGAGGCACCCAAACATCTGAGGGATAAATGGAATGACTTCTAAGGTGGAAAAGAGGAGGAGTTTGCTAGGTGAGGATGATAGGAAGGGTGTTCCAGGCAGATGAAAGAGCGTGCATGAAGTTTCTGAGGTGAGCGAAAGCACGGTGAATGTGAGGAGCTACAATGCAATTAGGCTAGAAAGGTGTATATGGATGCCATGAGGGATGAGGCTTAAACAGAGATCAAATCAAGCAGGGTCTTGAAAGCCACGGTAAGGAGTTTGAACTTGATGCTAAGGAGCAGTGTGAAGCCATTAAGGATTTTCATCAAAGAAAGGATATAATCAGGGTCTGTTTTATGAATTTATTCTTTACTCTGTGAATTCACTAATAATTCAAATCCATGTTTAAAGGAAAAAAATGGAAACTACAGAGAAGCATTTAGGGGAAAAAAAAATCACCTGTAATCTTATCATTGAGAGATAACCACCATTGGACTATAAATAACAAACAGCCTGTCTCAATTAACCATTGCTGTATAACAAACCACCCTAAAACCGCTACTGGCTTAGATTATTATATAACTGATTATTTTCATGAGTCTGTGGGTTGAGTGGGGTGAGCTAGGTGGTTCCTCAGCTCTGTGTAGCTGAGGATACCTCATTGCAAGCTGCCGCCAGCTGGGAACTTAGCTGGAACTAGAACATCCAAGATGATCTCTCATCTTCCAAAGAGCCTCTCTCTACCTGGCCTCTCATCTTTCAGTAATCCAACCTGAGCTTCTTTGCAGCATGGTGGCTTGCCTCCAAGGATAAAAAGGAAGCTGCCAGTCTTCATAAAGCCTAGAGTTGGACATACCCTGAACTTCTTCCATTGCACTTTAGTAAGCAAAACTAGGCACAAGGCCAGCTGAAATTCAAGGGGAACAGAGTCCACCTCTTTATTGATGGGAAGAGTAGTGTGTGTATGGGAAGACCCATTAGCTATTGGGAAACTATCTACCACACAACCTGACTTGCTAGTAGGTTGTTGACCAATTTCTGGTACAAATAATTAGAAAAACTCAGTTCAAAAATGACAAATGCAAAGTACATGGCCTTCATCCATCTAATAATCTAATAAAAATAGGTCACCTAAAATAAGCTGGCATGTTTTCTGTGCAGAGGGGAGGGTAGGAGGCAGGGGAAACATGGTAGAACCTAGTGTTGAAATAAAAGGAAAGGTCACATCCTTGACAAAGAACATGGTTAAAATTGTCTTAAGAAGTGTTATTCCACTAACGCAGCCACAGTTGACCAGAGTATTAAACGGAGTGTGACAGGTGATTAAAACATGTTATTTGCCCAAACTCACTTCCTGAGGGTCAAATGGCTGGAGACCCAGGGACCAGGCAGTGATACTACAACAAGCAGAACAGCAGAAGCGACAAAGTGTGCACGCCACAGCTAGGAAATGACGAGGATACTGCTGTGACCCTGCTAATATTGTACAGGACCAAACCAAGCCAGCAGCAGAAGAGACAGAGTAGAGCCATACAGTATAGATGGAATCGTGTAAATGATAAACGGAAATGCCTGGTGAGCAGGTGGGAGGAGATGCGGATATCACATAGGTCTCCAACTTGAATAAACAGAATAGCTACTCCGTAGGGTAGACACACAGGAAGAGCAGGTTTGGGGATCAGAGACCTCCAAGTGGGGTAGCCGTTGTGAATAAACACGTGGGAAGCTCCGTAAGGATGGCTAGACGAAATATGCTGAAAACCATAAAGGGCAACAAATGAAACCATGTGTGCAGATTCACATAGTAAGAGCATCTAGTAAGAAAAGCAATCAAACCCTGGAGGAACTGAAGAGGGTTTTAAGATTTGGAAAGCCACAAGTGACTTTACATCTCAACAAATCAAAATCTGAAAGCGGAATATCCTGTCCACTACTTACCCAAACTACTTAGTAGGAAGGGGAGGGTCATCTTCAAGTCACAAATTTCCACTAGGAGGGTTAGGAAAACATGGCCGATCTCTAAGGGAGAAGAGGTACCAGAATTACCTTAAATCTACTTTATGATTTTCCAACCAACTAGAGAAAACAAAGGTCTACAAAATTAAGCCAGAGGGAAAATATATGCCCCTCTGCCCCCCAAAAACCCCACCATGACTTATAAAACAAGCCTAAGTCTTGGAAAAAAAGGTCCAAAAAGCCAGAGGCCGGCAGGGTCAGTCACAGTACCCTCATTGTGTTTATTTGCCAAGCAACCTTCCAATTAGAAATTGGCCTGTCTGCAGAAAGAAACTGTATTGATCTTCCAGCTGGAGCATTCTGGTGTACTTGATACCTGTTGCCTTTCACTATAAATTATCTGGGTCAATACATCACTCTTTTGTTTCGTTTAAGTCCAGAGAGAGGTCAATTCCCAAGTGACAGATTTGCTTTCAGTATCTCCAAGGCTGAGGGCCAAACTGTGATGAAGAAATACTACCTAGAGAACTTCTGGTAACCAGATAAGAGAGCTTATCTTGGAGGCACTCCAGCCCCACTTCAAGCCTTCCCATGGAAATACAGCAAGCACTTTTTCTTTTGAACCAAAAAATTAAGATACACTTGCAAACAAAGAATATAACTTATTAATTTTTATTTTGAGTTGTAATCTATGATTACTTCAAAAAGATCCACTTCAGAAAACATCCAATGGATGTTGACTTACATTAAAAAAGTAAGTCACCAATGTATCATTTATAGTACAGAATACACAATAAATTATATTTACATGCAATGACTAGACTACCACACACACGGTAAAAAAATACAGTATTTTTATGTACATTTTTTAAGATTTACATTTTCATATACAATATATAAAATTAAAAAGATTCTCTGTACAAAATCTCATGTGCACAGAGTTTGTAAATCCCTATTCTTATGGCTGTACCAGCACACATATGCTTAAAACTAGAATACTACAAACACTTAACTTTTTTTTTTTTTTTACTTCATGTTCAGTCTTGGCACCCATATACTAATATCATTATTTTAAAAATGTGAATTACAAAGAAAATAAACATAATCATGCAGACTTTTTTAATATAAGAAAATGAAAAAAAATGTGCTACTAGGATCATCATTTATCACTTCCACAGTTACCTAGTTCTTTTCAACTTCCTGCACTGCTTTCATACAGGTGCATGCATAACTAACGGATTATGGATTGTATTAGTAACATAATACTATAGTCTGACAATACTTAGGCATTAGAAATGCAACTATCTAACAACCATAACCTGTCAAGTATTTCTGCTTTAGCAGAAACTTCAATTAACACATTATATACTAAAATTCACAGAAATGTCAATATTATAATTCCTAAGTTTATAGAGTCTGCATCAGAGAGTACATGATCATTTAAAAAACAACAAAACAACAAAAAAGGGGTTTGACATTGGAGTATATTCTCTGTTCTGTGACTGGAGAGTAGGGGAGATATATGATAAACCATTAAAAGGTTATCCACTGTCCCTGTTGAGGAAGCACTTGTACACTCCCAATCTGTTTAAATAAAGACACGTGAAAGCTTTATAAAAAGTTTAAGCTACACTATTCATCTTTAAAAATCTCTTTGAAAAGTAACAAATTGAAGGTATCAGCACCTTCCCTCTTCCCCAAGTAGCTAAAGATCAATGAGAAAAATAAAGTGCCAATGTGTAAAACATTGTTACTTGTTTAAGAGGCACTAACCCATTTGATGGCTTAGGATTAAATATGAAAATAGGCCAGATCTGATCTGAATAATAAATAGAAGGTAGGTGTTCCAGTCTATGCAATTTCTGCCTAGATGGGGGATGGACCAGAAAACTACCTACTCCCCCATTTATTGCTTTGAAACCTGTACATACACTTTAAATTCTGACAGAACAATTAGATTTCTAAGATGGAAAGCACAGTGTCTGTGCCACTTTGAAGTTGAAAAAAAAAGTGCACTCTTGATCACTGGAAGGAGAGCTGCTGAGACTCTCTTCACAACTCATATCTTCACAAGAGTCCTCACTAAAAGGGAAGAAAAGAGACAAAGAAGATTCCATTATTTTTTAAAATATTTTACTTATTCATGAGATCATTATTTAGAAAATACTTAAAAGATTTTATAAGCCAAATAAAACTACTAAACACGTATCTCTAGTCTCAGGATTTTTATATTCAAAATTTAAGCTTTATAGAGACAAAATTTAACTTATCAGGACTTCCTAAAATGAATTGTAATCTCCTTAGAAAATATAGGTTTTAAGATGTTTAGACAAATTACTATCTGCCAAACTATTATTCTTGTACCAGTTAATAAATATCAACAACTAACTATACAACTCTAAGCATTTCAAATCCAATAAATGGAGACAAAGGACAACGTATCTCCCATCACATGGTTTTGATGTCTTTCTTGCATTAATAATTGTATCCCTGATATTCTCAAACCAAGAAACCAGTAAGCTATAAAAACTAAACTTCTCATTCTTTATAGCATAAAATAACCAAATTTAATAAAATCATTCATTTTATGAACAAAAAATAACTCTGAACAAGACAATGCCATTTGCCAAAATGGTAAAAATATCTAAAGAAGTCTGCCATGTTAGTGGTGGTGGTTTCCTTTACGTTCCAATCATTTAACCCACAGCCTCTTCCCACGGCACCATATTAGGAATTCATACTATCCCTGAAAAGCCCAGAATGCCATTTCAGGTTTTGTTTTTAAACTAAACTATATTTCAAAGAGCAAAGGAAATGTGAAACAACCAGTTTTCAAAAAGGGAAGGAATGAAAAAAGTCAAGACAGAGGGAGGACAAATACCGTATGATCTTGTATGTGGAATCTAAGAATAAAAAAAAATAAAAAGCACAACTCATAGATACAGAGAACCAGACTGGTGGTTGCTAGAGGCAGGGAATGAAGTAGGTGAAAATGCTCAACAGGTACAAAATTCCAGTTACAAGTCTTGGGGATGTAATGCAGAGCATCATGGTTTGTTTTTATTTTATTTTATTTTATTTTATTTTATTTTATTTTATTTTATGTTTTTAAATAAAGAATGAAAAGGGGGGAGGAGAAGAGCATACTTCTAAATCATCACCTACTTTAATAACACTACCTCTAGCTAATTTTCTCACCTGAAGCAATGATGCTATTGGAGTAGGAGCTTTCTCTAATACCCTGTAATATTCCCAGGTTCCATTTTGAGTATAAAATCAGTATTATTTACTATGGGAAAGTCTAATTAGTCAAGGAACCTGCTTACCTTTCACTTTCATCAAAACAACCCCCCTCTGGTATCGTTGGCAGCTCAGGAACACTATAGTAGCTGTTGTGGAGGCTCTGGGCTGTGCGCCTTGAAACAATCCAAACCAATTTCTTATGATCTGGTTTGCAACATTCAGGAGAAGAATATTCGGCTAGGCATTTAGAAACTAACTCCCTCCAATAAATGAACTCGGTGTCATTAACCTGGAAAAAAATGTTAATGAAGAGGTTAACTACCCTACAATCACCCTAAAATGCTTAAATTATACTGATGCCTGGCTCCCACCACCGGATATTCTTATTTGATATGGGATATGACCTGGGCAAAAAGATTTTTTAAAGCTCTGCAATTCTAATGGGCGGTCAAAATCCAGTAACCACTGGTTTAAAGGAGGAGCACCATAGGTATAAATAATTTACATAGAACCTAATAAAAAGCTTTGCCTATTTTAAGAAAATACACTGACCTAAAAACATTAGATTTGTTAAACCAACCAATTAAAGTATTAAAGTATATTCTTTAATATATTAAATAATATAATATTAAATAATAATAAATAATTTAATAAAATAATATTAAATAATTCTTTAAAGAATTAAAGTATATTCTTTAATAGTCTCAATGAAAGGAATTTAACATAATTTAGCCCTCTATAACATAGCATTGAATGGACTGCTAAAATCATGCATTTACATTAAGACACTAGATATACACTAATGGAGAAGTTAGCAATAAGACAGAAGAGGAACTTCCCAAAGAGCACAGTTTCTCCACCACTGGGGAGTGCCCCAATTTATTTCAATGAACAAATTTTCACTTAAGATATTTGCAGATACTATTACAGAAAGTTTAAATTAAAACTAATAAATTTATGATTTAAATGAAAGCTAGAGGGATCCCTGGGTGGCGCAGCGGTTTGGCGCCTGCCTTTGGCCCAGGGCGCGATCCTGGAGACCCGGGATCGAATCCCACATCGGGCTCCCGGTGCATGGAGCCTGCTTCTCCCTCTGCCTGTGTCTCTGCCTCTCTCTCTCTCTCTCTCTCTCTCTCTGTGTGACTATCATAAATAAATAAAAATTAAAAAAATAAAATAAATGAAAGCTAGAAGTTATCTGTTAAAAACAAAATGCTTCATAAAAAAGGCATTTTCATCACAAACAGAAGATAACTTTTTATCATCATGGTCTCCATTACCACCTAATCTAGCTCCATCGTAATCCCCTTGCAATATGGCTGGACTCCCTTCTTCTTCTACAGACATCTCCTAGGTATCTAATAGCCTCCCTCAATTCTTTTTTTACACTGAGTCTCTCATCAAAATTCAATACTCCTGATTTGGGAATACTTCTTGAAAATCTTTTTCCAACCCAACAGTGCACTTGACTAATATACCCTCCCTTCCCTTGCCTAAGGGGGAAACCACCAACAATGAAAACCCAGAGTTTTAACTGATCCCTAAGCAAAGAACTCCCACAAGTTTGGTATGGTTTCTACTATTATTTCTTCATGAGAAATTTAAAATCTCAAATCTCCAGCTACAAGTTATCTTCTGAATTTTTATTCCAGGTTGCCAAATATCTTCTAAATACCTACCCACCTGAAAGATATACAAGTACCTAAAATCGTATTTCTTTGATCACAAACTGGTTTCTCTCAAACTTCCCTCAGTGGCATCAATATTCTCCCCATCATTAGGTTCAAATCTTGGTCATTGTGACTCCGTGTCTCATTTCCATGCTTGGCTTCCAAAACCACTCTTTAAGTTGGATACTCGTATTACTTCTGCTTGCGACTATCACCTAGACATTCTAACTACAAGCCTACGTTAAAGGATTTCCCAAGCCCTTTTAGTCCACCAACTTCCTGGCCACAAGCCTTTGTTACCGATTGTCTAAGATTCTTCTGGTCCAACCAGAATATCAGACGTCGTGCCTCTCACAGTCTGCCCTATTTGGTGCTAATGAAGCCCCAAAGCAGTCCCGATTAGTGCTAACACCCGTTACTGCAAAACTTATTGGGCTGGCCAGACTAAGAGGTTTAAAAAGAAAAAGATGGCAGAAGTTTATTTTGGTAATGCTACTAATGGGATGATGATCCAACCCTAAGGATGTAATGGACTGCCATTAGTATATTTACTAAGTCTACTTCCTCACATGTATTTTAGAACAACGTGCAAGTAGCAATGTGGACCACTGTGTTACCAACTGGTGAGAATACTATAGAAGGGACAACATCTGAACACAGAAAGAAGCTAGACTAAGTGATCAGGTTCCCTTCCAGCTTAACATTGTCTGGGTCAAATCTGCATTTTGAGAACTTCAACACTTGAGCTACAAGATAAAAGTGTAAAAGTCCAGAGCCCCATAAAGTATTATTTAATGTTTGAATCACCATGGGGGTGGGGGAGGAGAGAGGATGAAACACTAGAAATCTGCTTTAAAGAATAAGAACTGAAGATAATTTACCTTGGAATGTTTTTTAACAAGCAGAAGAATTTCCAGTAATTCAATGGATTTCAAGGTTTCTACTTCCAAATTGAGAAGGCACAAAGCTAACACGGATGGCTAAAAAAAAAAGGGGGGGGGGGAATAAGTATTTTTTAGAAATTTAAAACAGAAACAGTGAGACATATGTAAGCAAGAAATTAACTTACTTTTGCTTTTGAAAAGGTAAGTCGGCAGTTGCAAGCTTTCAGTTGAGCTTCTAGTTTATCTAGACTTAGTATTTCTTTCCTATACAATGAAAAAATAGGACAAACATTTAAATCTTTGGGAATTTAATAAATAATTTTAAGAAATTGCTGTTAAAAGTCCAAATTAAAAGTTTTAGAAGAGTAAAAATATAAATTTCACTGGCATTGTAACTGTTAGCTGAAGTAGAAAATCTTTATTTGTAATTCCACTGACCTTTCTGATGTATGACAAAGTACAATAGTATGGTATAAGTGCAAAAAGTTTAAGGCAGTAGTTGCTTCCAATTCATAGTGCAATTTTTCTGAAATTATTTTTTCCATCCGTTTTATGTCAGAAGCAGTACATTTACATTGACTAATCCGGATTACATCATGAGTGGATGGAATATTGCATTCTTCTTCAACTATTCTAGCAGCCAGCAAAAAACAACAGACTCCAATGCAAGACAAATGTTTAGGTTTCACCTGAAAAACAAAGAACAAAGGCTTCTTCTAACAATTGTCACTCTGACGTAGCAAAGCAGATACTTGAAAGAATATTATAATGATGTCCCTAACTCTTAAGACAGAACACAATCTAGCTGCTTCATGTACTTATCCTTAAATCACATTTATACTTAATCATTTTTTCATTTTAAACAGACTTAATTTCCCATTTTAAACAACACATGTTAAGCATTTAAATTACATAATTTAAATGCAAATTCAAAAGGTAGGTTTCCAACAATGACTTATACTTTGTATTTCAAACATGAAATCATAATAGTACAGTCTCCCCCAAAGTAAACTAAGCCTTTCAACACCAAGACAATATATACTTCTTTGGACATAAAAATAATACATGCAACTCATCTTTTTTATCTTCTTCTCTATTTATTTTTAAGTATCATCCCACATTTCAATGCAAATTTGCCCAAGAGAAATACTGCATCAGTTGTGCAGAGTGGAGCATATGTAAAAGCTGCCATGGACAGATGGCTGCCCTTTTCTTTACGGTGCCCGGAAAACTGACCCAGCAGCTGACAGCAATCCTATTGGCAGAAGAATCACCACATTTTTCTAACAGTTGCTGGTTAATAAGACTACGGCTCCCTGCTTTGAAAAGACTTTTCACAGGGAAAGCAGTAGGTCACCTTTAACATGTTTCAGCACTAAAAACAACTGAACTCCAAGAGAAATACGATGGAAGATAAAAATATGAAAACCTTATTTTGAGGACTGTATACACATGTAGGGAATACCTAAAAACGGTGTTACCTTCGTTTTGTAACATCTTCAAAGAGAAGGTATATAAAAGGTAATAGTAAAACCAACTTAAAATACAACACAGTTAATTCTGTAGTCTCTTAATCTGGCACTAAAGATCACAATTCCAATTAAAAATATTTATGTGTAATGACATAATTTCTTTCAGTTGTCCAACATTTCCCAAACCCTTGTTATGTCAGGCACTGTGCTGGGCACTAGGTTTAAAAAAAAAAAAAAAAAAAGATGTATACACAAAAATGTTTAAATACCTTCATAAGAGCCAAGAATCTGTCCAGAATATTGACAGCCAAGACAAAAGTCTCAGTGCAAGACCCAAAAAAGTTGGTTAAACTCCTTAAATCTTCTACTTTAGCATTTCTCAATCTTGGACACAAAGTGTTATCATCCTGCAATAAAAACCAAGAGCCAAAGCTATGACTTTCTAAAAATTGGATAAATACACACAAGTATATTCAAATAAGGTAAATTTTTTCTTAATCTTCCAGAGTATGGAAGAAAGCGTGGTATCATTAAACACACACTTTTTCAGATACAAGATACGTATAAATATCATGGCTTTTAAAATACATATAGCCTAAAAGAGCTTTAGCAATCCAATATAAAGTGAACTGTTGTCACACTTCCAGAGGATTATAGCAAATGTAACTCCCCCATAATGGAGACAGTTTGTTTTCTTTATAGTAGGCTCTTAGGTTTCTTTTTTTAAATAAAGTATTTCATGGGCAGAGGGTATTTCCATGATCAACTACTCAGTTCCCAGGGAGTCTCCCACCCAGAAGCTGCAGGTTGGGGGTGCCACTTAGGAAGGAACACTTCTCTGCAGTTAGTATCATCTTCATTCTTGCATAACCCTGTAAAATGTAGTACTCTAGAAGGCAAATTTTGGTGCTAAGAGACTTACAGCCTTTAATCTTGATTCATTTAACTGGGGGCAAAAAGAGTCCTCCTTCTCCAAGGCCTATCAGCTCTTAGGACAAGCTCTCTTCTCTGGGGGCTTACCTCCGGGGTAGCCTCGATCAAGCTCAGCCCTTTTTCTCGAGGTTGGAATCTCTGTTCCTGCTCTAGGTAGAGGTTCAACAATCCGAAGAGCTGGACCCCTTCGCGACCTGCCAAGTACTCCGCCCCCAGATCCTTCATCTGCAGCAAAGACACCCCGCAATTAGGAGGAGTCCCGGAGGGGGGGAGGGGGAGGGGGAGGGGGGAGGAGTGGGCAGAGACGAGCTGGTGCCGGTACCTCGGGCGAGAGGCGCCCCAGCACACCCCGGCGAGGAGCGGGTGCGGGGGCCCGTCACGGCCTCCGGAACCCCAGCGCAACCCTGCAGGCCCCACCGCCTGGGGGGGGGGGGCGGGGGGCGGGGCAGGAGGAGGGGCCGCGGGCCGGGCCGCCGGCCGGCGCCGGGTCAGACCGGATGGCCCCGGCCGGGGGGCCGCTTCCCAAACAGGAAGCTGCCGGGCGGCGGTGCCCGGCCGGTCCGCCCCTCCTGCAGCCGCCGGGGGAGGGGCTGCTCCCGGCAGAGAGCACCCGGGCCGCGACGCGCGGGTCGTGGGGCGGGCTCCCGGCACGACGGGACGGAGGGGTGGGAGGTCTCGCGACCGAACAAAGAGCCGGAGGGAGGAGACTCCCGAGCCCCGCCCCTCCCGGGGAGCCGAGCTCCGGAAGCCCCTCTCGCTGGAGCCCGGCGCCCAAGCCTTCCGCAGCCGCTCCGCACCGCCGGCTCCGGGCCCGCCGAGCGGCGAGGCAGCGATCCGAGGGGCGGCGGGGGGCGCGGCCCACCACCCCGTGCCACGCAACGCCCGGCCATCCCCGGGGCCCAGGTTCCTCAGCTGCGCGGAGCCCTGGGGCTGTCGATCGGGCAGCACCACCCCAGCGAGCCCCCGCGGGGGCGGGGGGCGACCAAAGATCTGTCTTCAGCTCCTCGAGCCTCCGGCCTCCCTTAACATTTCTCCGCCCCCAGCGCACCCTCCCCCGCCGAGGACCGGACCGGAGTCGCTCCCGGGGCTGAGGAGCGGGTCCTCCGCCTCCATGCCCCCGCCGAGCCCCACCTGCGAACAAAGACACCCCGGCCCCAGACGAGCCCACTCACCTCGCCGGAGGCCGCCCCCCCGCTGGCCCGCGGCGTCCCGGCCCGGTGAGCACTGGGCGCGGCGGGGGCGTCCGAACCTGCCTCCCGAGGTCGCGGGCCCGCCGCCTTAGCGGTGCCCCCGGACCGGCATCGGCGCCTTCCCCTGCCCCGCCGCCTCGGCCTCACGGCGCGAGCTGCATCCCGTCCCCCGCGCGCCCACCCCTCCGGCTGGGGCGCGGCGCCGGCCCCTCCACCCGAGCCCCTGCGGGCGCCGCCGCCTCCACGGTGGAGGCCGACGCAAACCCCTTGTTTTTGTTTTGAGTTTTCGACGCCCCGAAGGGGGCGGGGCACGTGACTCCCCGCGGAGGGATACGAGGCTTCCGGGAGGGCCCCGAAAAAGAGTCCCGCCGCCGCGCTAGCGTCCCCAGCCGGACTCGGGTCCGCCTGCTCTCGCCTTCGCGTTGCCGCCGCCCCGCCCTCTCAGCGCCAGGGCGGAGGCTGCAATCCGGGAATCAGCTCCCGTGATTGAGCCGAGGCGGAAGGAAAAGGAGTGACAGGTTTTAGAGGCGGAAGGAGATAGTTTCTGGTCGCACTGCAACCTTTTAAAGGTCCCCATTTGTTTTGTTTTCACTGTTTTGAAAAGTCCGCCCAAAGCAGCGAGCTCTCCGATTGGACACTGGTACAGCGATCGGAACGCCGAGCCTCCGAGGCGCCCTCGGACCCGGATTGGCTGACCGCTGAGCCTTCGCGCCCTCTGATTGGCTTTCATCTTAGCCGGCGCCTCTCTCTTCCTTGGGGCCTTAGCAACTCTGGAGTCTCGGATTGCGCATGCCTGACATTCCGAAGGCGTTTATAGAGCGGACCCTGGGACCTGGTGCTTCCCGCTCTGCTCTGACCTCCAGAGAGCCGTAATAGCTAGAAAACCTTTATTTTGTTCTGAGGGTCCATTTTGTGATAACCAACCGAGTTATTATAAGATTGTTGGGGTGCTTACTGAAATATTTATGAATAAAATGCTCTCCTCTCTCGTATTTGAAGTTTTCCCTTCAAATAGATAATAGGTGAATGAATAGATAGATAATAGGTGAAATGAGTTTGAGAAAAGGTTAAGACTTTGGTGAAGGTGGGTAATGGGTGGGTTTCCGTTATAAGACTATTTTTATTTTTTTAATAAATAAAATTTTATTTTTAATTTGGTGTGCCTTGAAATTTTTGCTAATAAAAATAAATGTATAAGGAGGGACCTTAAGGGAAAAACTGAACCTGCTCATGCTGACGAGGACATATAAACACTTAGTAATTATAGTGTGCCTCCAGAGGTTATAGTTGTGCTGTGGTTTTAATCAAAACTCCCAGAGGCTTTTTGGTCCTCAGTCACCCACCCATAAGTTATCATTTACTGTCCATTATAATTAACTTTATTACTAAGAGGTGACACCTCTTTTGAAGCAAAGCAAAAAGCAGAACAAAGGGTGCCTTAGGCCAGAGAAACCTTAACAGAGGAGTTCTCTGGGGGATGTAAGAGACTCCCCAATAATATTTATGGTTTATTTCTTTACTTTCTCCCTCTTCAATTCCCTGCCACTGGCAGCCAAATACACAAATCAGTAAATAGAATAATCAAACCCAAGGAACAGATTTCTCTTTTCTGTTCTTCTGCATGTTTTCTGTGAATTGTTTTCTTACTTGTGAGATATGAAAAGGCACACAACACAGCTTTAGAAGCAGCTTTCTCTTCTTTCCAGAGCAACTGAAAAATTTTAGAAATAGATCCCTTTACATATTAGCTTGCACTAGGCATGGGAGCCCAGAGCAACCTGGGATAAGGGGACTCAAAGAGCAAATCCTCCCATTTCAGGGAGGTGTGGCCTTGTTCAGGGTTTGGGGAAAGAAAGAAAATTATATTAACAGATTACTTTTATATGATTTACAGGTTGCATAAGTTTGTGCAATACTTGTGTGCTCCTTTAAACATTATTATAACTTGTTTTTATTTGATATAAATCTCCGCTGGAAATCTATGCTGAAAAGCATAAATGAGGGTATGCAACGAACATGGAAAATAAAACTAAGATTAGAATTACATAGATGACAGCTCATCGCAGTTATAAAGAGGCTCCAGAGAGAGAGAGAGAGAGAGAGAGAGAGAGAGAAAGCAGATGGACAGAAAACAAGCACCATGAGAAAAAGAAGAGTTTGTGGCCAAAACATAAAAGAGATTGGGGATTTTTTTCAAGTAGGAGGGCAAAGGTAGAAAAGGAACATAAGATATAAAATAAATGATGTGAAAGAGGAAAGGTAAATTATGTGGTAGAAGATTTTTAAATAGAGATGGTATAAGACAGATCAAGAAATTGTCCATGACTTAGATCACTGACAGAAAGTTATACAAAATATACATTCATAACTGTTTTTTTTTTTTTTTGGTGTGTGTGTATCTTTTATCAGGCAACCTTTTGAATAATGAGCAGCTCTTTAAGAGTAAGACAAGAAAGCTTGCTAAGTGGTGTTCAATTTCCTGGTCTTGGCAGGCCCTGTCCAGTACCAGAGAAAAGACTGATCAAATTGCCCAATATGGAGCCATTTATCCATTTCAGTCCACTTACCTTTTAAGATAAAGAAATAGCAATCACTAAAATATATTAGTCAAGTATAACTACTTGACCATCATCCTTTTTTTCAAAACACCTCTTTTTAATGATGATATTCTGGGGAAGAAAATGATACAAGTTTTCCCTTTTTGTTCTACTGATTTTTTATTGTTGTTTGTTAATATGGCTTTTATTTTTTAATTTTTAAATTTGTTTTAAATGACAGTCTTTCTCCAGGCTCTATTTGTCTTTCTTATCATTTCAGTTGACTTTGTTGCAGCTGTAGATCTTACTTACTTAAAGGACATTCTCCCTTAGGTACCTGTCAACTACCTTTCTGTCCTTCCTAAGCTTTATTGGGGGTGACTTTCTTGTATCAGGCACACATACAAAATAGGGAATCAGAAATCTGGCAGTCCCCAAGAAGGACTTTGAGGGGATTCATTATAAGACATTGGATCTCCAGCACAGTGAGAGGGGTGGAGTGGGATTGGATGATATCCTGTCCCCAGTAACCTCTTTAAGGACAGACAGAGAGCTTGTCCTCAGTGACATCTGAGACTATGAAACTAGAAGGTAGGCACAGAGCAGAGTAGTAGCACACCCACAGAAATAATGCCCTCGTACAATGAATCCTTGACTTCTGATGAGTGTCCTTCAAACCACTCAACATTTCAGCTTCTCCCTTGGAAAGAAAATAGAGTATCAGCAAGCAGCTGCCACGCTGCTTCCCTTAATACTTTATACTTGGACTTCTCTAAACTTCATAAGGCATCAAAATTCCCTTACAACTTTTTTTTAATGTCCAATGTTTATTTTTTTTAAAAAGATTTTATTTATTTATTCATGAAAGACACACACAGAGAGAGGCAGAGACACAGGCAGAGGGAGAAGCAGGCTCCATGCAGGGAGCCCGACATGGAACTCAATGCCGGGACTCCAAGATCACGCCCTGGGCCGAAGGCAGGGGCCAAACCGCTGAGTCACCCAGGGATCCCCATGTCCAACATTTATAATATGAGGGCCAGGGCTTTCTCCCCAACTCAAGTTTATAAAATTTCTATTGGCTTGTGAGACCAATAGGGATACTTCTTGTCCCCAATAGGGATACTTAATTTGGTTTTTGGGAAGACTTCATGGTCATCTCAATGGTCATCTGATCAAATGGAATTATGTTCTTCATCTTCTCCAGCTCTTTTTCATATTCTTCAATCTTGGCTTTTGAGAGAGACAAAAACTCGGCACAGCTTTTCACATCTTCTTCTTTCTCAGCCTCCACCTGGACAGTGAGTGTATTTATCCTCTGGCACAGAAAACTTCAGGGCATTAAACTTCTTCTCAGAGTCATCTACCAAACCAGCCTTTGCCACATTGGCCTTGTAGTAAGCCTAGTCGATAGCAGGTGGTTTCTCAGAAAGAGTAGCCAACCTGGAAGTAAGCGTCTTATTCCAGGATTTCAGGGAGTTGGCAATGGCCTTCTGGTTTCAGGGTATGATCTCCCCAAAAGCTACCCAGTCAATGGTTTTTAGAGCAAGTTTTCGCCTGACCATCTTGAGATTCTTCACTGACCCCGGCAGCCCACAGTCCACAGCCTCCCTTACAACTTTTTAGATAGCATCTTCCTCCTCACAAATGATAATTTTAAACAATAAATCTGGGGCACCTGGATGGCTCAGTGGATGAGCTGCTGCCTTCGACTTAGGTTGTGATCGCAGGGTCCCACGACCAAGTCCTGCATCCAGCTCCCTGCTGGGAGCTTGCTTCTCCCTCTGTCTAGGTCTCTGCCTCTCTCTGTGTCTTTCATGAATAAATAAATAAAATATTTAATAAAAAACAAAAATAACAAAAACCAAAAAACTCAATAAATCCTAACTTTTTACAATTATTTTTTTTTAAGATTTTATTTATTTACTCATGAGAGACACACACAGAGAGAGGCAGAGACACAGGTAGAGGGAGAAGCAGGCTCCATGCAGGGAGCCTGACGTGGGACTCGATCCAGGGTCTCCAGGATCACACCCTGGGCTGAAGGCAGGCGCTAAACCTCTGAGCCACCTGGGCTGCCCCTAACTTTTTTTTTTTTTTAAGATTTTATTTATTTATTCATGAGAGACACAGAGACAGACAGAGAGAGGCAGAGACAAGGCAGAGAGAGAAGCAGGCTCCATGCAGGGAGCCCAATGTGCGATTCCATCCAGGGACCCCAGGATCACACTCTGGGCCAAAGGGAGACGCTCAACCGCTGAGCCACCCAGGTGTCCCTAAATCTTAACTTTTTATATAATGAATATATACTAGATGCCAGGCATGATACTAGGCCTCAGGGATACAAAAATAGGTAAATAAAACACAGTCTCAGAATATGTCCTGGTAGGGCAGCCCCCGTGGCGCAGCGGTTTAGCGCCGCCTGCAGCCCGGGATGTGATCCTGGAGACCCGGGATCGAGTCCCATATCAGGCTTCCTGCGTGGAGCCTGCTTCTCCCTCTGCCTGTGTCTCTGCCTCTCTCCTCGCTCTCTCTGAATGAATGAATAAATAAATCTTAAAAAAAAAAAAAAAGAATATGTCCTGGTACATCTGAGGTG